TTAAGACATCCTTTTAAGCACCTACCGTGTCCTTACGTTGGGGAGTAAAAGGTGAATGCGGAAGGCGGAATGACTACTCTGCTTAAGCGACACAGAAAGAGAGGACGGCTTACAGTGCATCCTAAAGACAAAGAGAATTCATCTGTTGGAATCAGCTGGACACAGGCAGGAAAGAATGTGAGGGAACAACACTTTGGAAAAGAATGGAGAAAGCATGGCCCAGGGTTCCAGAAACTGTAAATATCGCCAGCCTGCAGGTGGGGCAAGTCAGAGGTCCCCTCTGCAGAGATGGGGTGGAAGCCAGACTTCAGAGGCTGCAAAGGGAGACCCCATCCGCGTTCAGGGAAGGCGGAGAGCTGGCTTCTGGGTTCCCGAGGCAGGGATTTGAGCGGGCCTCCCTTGGCCATGTCTTCCGAAGTTGCAGTTGCAGCTCAGGTCTCTGCAGAAGCTTTGACTGTGATGGTGAACAGGAATTACACATTCACCCGAACAAGAAGAGACGTTGACGATGGAGGGAACACTGCCTGCGGCACTCGTGGAGGACTCGCCGGCTGGGAGGCTGGACGGAGGGTCCGCAGACGCCCATCCCCCGCACCTGGCCCGCGCGCTCCCACCTGCGCCCGCGGCCCGCGGCTGCCTCGCCCGCCTGGAGCTCGCCCCGCCCTCCGGGGGCGTGGCCGCCGCCCCGCCCCTACCACGTGACCTGTCAGTTCGTGGAGACGGAGGAAGATGGCCGCCGGGCGAGTGGAGGGCGACGCGCCGAGAGCCGCGGTCTCTCCGGTTCCCGTCTTCTGACAGCGCCAGCGGCAAAGCGGGCCGGTTCCGCCGCGGCTGCCCTCGGCCGGGCTGCGAGGCGGTCAGTGCGGCGGTCGGCTTCGCGGGGGCGGGGCGGCGAGGTCGGGGTGCGGGGTCCCCGCGAGTCGGCGCGGGCTGCAGCGCCCGGGCTCAGGGCCTGGCGGCCTCGGGCGGTCTCTCGGGGCGGCGGGCGCCGCGCAGGGGGTGCGGGGGGGGGCGGCTGTTTTCCTGGGGCGGAGCCGCCGCTGGGGCGCAGCCGAGCGGCCGTTCGCGGACCCGGCCTTGGGCTTCCAGGGCCGGCGCGGGGCGCTCCCTGAGCGACCCTGCGGGCGCCGCTCCCGCCGCCCTGGGCCGGCCCCCAGGCTGGCGAGCCCTCGGGTGCACGGACTCGAGGTCTTTGTCCGCCGCCGCGCTGGGTGCGGAGGGTCCGGCCCGCCGGCCGCCTAAGGCCCGGGCGTCCACACCAGCTCACCCCGCAGCCGCACCGGAGGAGCCTGGCCGAGCCGCACGGGCCCCTTTAAGCCGATACTTTTGTATGGCCCGCGGAGGATGGTGCAAACACCCCATGGCCCTGGGCAGACAACGCTCCGCAGCCCGCGCTGCAGCCCCGCTGCCGGCCACGAGGGGCGCTGGTGCACAGCCGGGCCCGCCGGCGGCCTGGGTGTGGCCCCGCGTCGCCCTCCGGACCCAGCGGGGTGGGGGCCTCGTCCCTGCCCACACTTTGACCACACCAGGAATCAGACGCCAGTATTTTGTTTTTAAAACCACTGCAGGACTTCTGGGGCTGCGCCAGGGCTGAGAAGGGCTGCGGCCGGGTTGTGTTCTTTGTTCTCCAGTGTTCCGGGCATGGACACTTGCATCCCTGTTGGGTGTTTGGTGTAAAACAAAAGACAGTAGTCCTTTCTCTTATAGAAACTGATATCCGAGTGGGAGAGACAACCATCGTCAGGTCGATGTGTAAATGGCGAGTTTAGGGAAGAGCTGCCAAGGACATGGGAGAAGGCCCCCCGTGAAGGAAACCGAGAGGATCCTGTGACAGGGTGGTCAGGTCAGAGGGAGCCACTAGGGAAGGAGCTGTTAAGAGACGTTGAAATTCTGTTGTTACGGGCAGTAGCTAATCATTGTCCAGTTTTTAGTAGTGGGCGCTATCCTAATCCCTTTCCCCTGACTGCACAGTTATTTAAAGATGGTGAAGCCTAGACAGGGCGTCAGGAAACGAGCCCAGGGTGATAACATATTCAGCAGTGGGCAGGAGTCAAACCAGGGCAGGCAGGGCCGAGGGCCCATGCTCTTAGCACTGTACTAAGCTCTGCTTGAGGAAGAAGGCCTTTTTGAAGAGAGAACATTGAAATCAAGGATGGACAATGCTCATGTTTTTGTCTGTGTTCAGATATGATTTTCCAGGTGGTCTTGTTTGTGTCTTGACGTCATGGCCGGAGTGAACTTCCCTGGTGTTGGTGTCCTGGGAGATCGTTTGTGTTCACGCGGGAACACCGAGGTCTGGCCGTGCATGACCAGTTCCTGACAGTCAGGGACGGCTTCTCGCTCTCAACCTGTTGTGTGGGCACCATGCGAGATGTGCCGTGGGTCCTACTTCCGGAGGGATTGTGGGCAAGGGTGAGAGTAGGGTGGATAGTGGGGTGTGCCGTGAGCAGTCTAAGTTTAGGTGGACACAGGTGTGGAGGCTCCCAGAGCAGGGGCTCAGCACCCACTTGGAGTGAGCAGCCAATCAGTGCAGGCTTCCAGAAGACAGTGTTAGATTTAGGCTCGTCCTCAGGAGGAGTTGCTGCCCAGGCGTGTCTGTGGAGGACGGGCCATCTAAGAGGAGGGGCAGTGCGTGCAAAGGCCTGGAAAGAAGAAAGCGTGGGGCAGCCACAGCACTGCAAGGAGATTAGTCCGGCTGGAGCTGGAGATGTGCATGTGAGTGGGGAAGCGCGTTTGGTAGGGGTGGGAGGGGGGATGCGCCTGGGCCGGAGAAGGATGAGGCTGGACCGTGAGATGGGGCCAGACTGAAGGATCTGCACGCCCTCACCACCATCATCAGGCACTGAGTTCACACGTCATCACTGCTCCGCACAGAGCCAAGCTTTGCACAGGGATTGTGGACTCGAATCTTTACGGTGGCTTTGAAAAGCTTTTAAGGGTTTCAGTTCCGTGAATAACTTGTGAGTAAAAAAGCTCTCATCTTCTGTTCTCCCAGCATGACTTTATGGGGAACTAACGGAAGGATATTTAAAAAAATTTTTTTCTATTGTTGATTTTAGAGAGAAAGTGAGAGGGAGAGAGATGGAAACATCGATGAGAGAGAACATTGATTGGCCGCCTCCTGCATGGACCCCACTGGGCATCAGACCCACAACCTGGACATGTGCCCTGACCGGGAATCAAACCAGTTCCTCTTAGTTCATGGGTTGACGCTCCACCACTGAGCCACATCGGCTGGACTAACGGAAGGATTTTAAGAGGAGTGTATCTGATTACTCTTGCTTCAGTGTGGCAACTAGATTGGACGGGGGCAGACAGGAGAGAGGGAACACAAGTTGGGAGACTGTCATGTCAATCCAGGTGAAAGATGTTGTGGGAGACATTTTTAGGGCAGGTACCTACATCACAACAGTTCCCTCTTTTCTGGAAGCATGCTGACACTATGACCCTGTAATGCCGTCCCAGCCCTGTGACTGTGACCATCGTTGGTTGGTTTCAGGCTGGTGCCTGACACAGTCTGGGTAGTCAGAGCTCTTTTCTGCGGCTTTTGGATTTGGGAACAAGTCCAGACTTTTTCTAGTTCTAGAAATTCTGCTGCCACCCACCTTTCCCAGTGTGGTTATGGGAAATAAACCAGTATCCTTGAAATACATTTTCTGTTTTGCTTAAGCTAGTTTAGTTTCCTTTTGCACTGTTAGGAGTCTTAATTAAGTGTGGATGGTGAAGGCCCAAACTAAGGCTTGAGAGTAGGGTCGGCTGATGTCGGACGTAGGAGGTAAACTGGACAGAAAATGGTAACTGTTGTTCTGGAGAGAGAGTAGGTGCTGTGGGAGAGTGGGTGTGAGTGGTGTTCAAATGGGGGAGAGATGATGCCCATGGCAGGCGGGGCAATGTGGAGGGCTTCATCATGGCTGAGCTCTAGGACGGGGTGGGGCTGCACGGGGGAGGGGGAGGGAGAGCCAGACCCTGGATGCCTTGCTGAGTATGAGACTTGATCTTATAGGAAGTGGAATAAATGAAGGTGTTGGATGTTGGTGATGACTGTCATCACAAATCTCTTACTGGTTTCCAATGATAAAAGTGCCACATTCCAGAAAAGTAGGAAATAAAGCTTCTAAAGAAAATGAAAATAACATTGATGCTATTTCTGTATTTTTAAATATGTATATTTTAGCCTGGGCTGGTTTGTCTCAGCAGTTAGAGCATCAGCCTGTGGATTGAAGGGTTTGATTGTGTCTCTCACATCGATGTTTCTTTCTCTCTCCCACCCCCAACCCCTCCACTCTGCCTAAAAATCAATGGAAAAATATTCTCGGGTGAGGATTAACAACAAAAATTGTGTATATTTTATATAGTTGGGATGCTGTATACGCAGTGTTTTGTTAATTTTTTTTTTCAGTTAATATATTACAAACATTTTTCTGTCAGTACATATACAGAAGCATTCTGATGACTCTATATTTTTTTACTGTGTGACTGTATCATAATTTATGTAATCCCCCATCTCTAAGTTTTTTCTACTTGGGACTCAAATTGTATTCAAAATCTTTCTCCATGTTTCTTGTGTTTTTAGAATTCATTCTTAGAATAAAGTTACTGGCTCAAATAACATAACTTTTTTTGATTATTTAAAAGTAAGGTATAATTTATATACATTATAATTCACTTTTTTTAGTTAGTGTTCAGCTTTGAATTTTGACAAAGCCATATAATTGTGTAATTATCACCATAGTCAGGATATACAACAGTCTATGAACTCCCCAAATTCTCCCCACTGTGGATTGAGCCCACAACCTGGGCATGTGCCTGACCCGGAATCGAACTGGCAACCTCTTGGTACCTGGGTTGACGCTCAGCCACTGAGCCACACTGGCTGGGTCCAAATTCTCTTATATTCCATTGTCATCTCCTTCCCTCACTTATAAGCCTGACAATTTCTGATCTGTTTATGTCTGTCTAGTTTTCCTCTTCTAGAATGTTATATAAATGGAATCATGCAGTGCAGTAATTTCTGTCTTCTGGCCCCAAAATAGACTTCCATCCCACACACAAACCACGTTGACCCGTCCTGGGGCCTCCCAAAGTCTCAGCGCATTGCAGGATCAACTCATCGTCCAAATCTCATTTGAATTTTGTCAGCTTAAAAGTTCTAATTCCCATGATCTAAATCAGGTATGAGCGAGATCTGGGAATATAGTCCATCCTATAGGATTAGGCATGATTCCTGTTTATCTGTGAATCTCTGAAACTCAAGAAAAAGTCATGTACTGTAAAGTACAGTGCAGGGAAGGCATGAATGCCAGGCACAGACGTACTGTTGAAGAGGGGAATGGAAGGCAGAAGCTGTCATCAGTCTCAGGCAGATTCAGGGGCCCCACACACCTAGACCTACTGTCCGGATCTCTGAGGGTAGGGCCAGGCATCTGTGTTTTACAAGGGCTGGAGGTGATTCTGATGCACGCTATGGTTTAAGAAGCTGTGGGCCAGCCTATGTTTGCACAAGATGACCGTGGTTGCCTTGTGGAGGACAGAGGCGGGGTAGGCAAATGGGAGTAGGAAGAGCAGTTGGGATCTAGGTGAAGGTCACGGTGGCTTGGACCAAGGTGGTTGTGATGGAGGTGCTGAGTACTAATCAGATGTGAAGTAGACTTTATAGGTAGAACCAAGACTGTGCTAAGATTTACACTGTAGTGTGTAAGAGGACAAGGCAAGTCATAGGTCTCAGCCTCGGAAGAAAGGAGCTGGAGCTGCCATTTCCTGAGGCGGAGAAGACAGCAGGGCGAGCAGTGGGCACTTTCTTCTGTTTGGGGAAGATGTGGGCTTGGCTCTGGGGTTGGGCGTCGGGATGAGTTAGGCTGAGATGAGTGGAGTCTGGGGGAGGCAGGGGTGGGCATCGTGACAGCTGAGCTGGGCCCTTGGTCGACAGCCCTGCGGGGGAGGTGTATCTGTACAGGTGACCTTTGTTTTCCTGGTCACCGATTATGTGTCTTTTGTCTCATGTGCTTTAACAGGTGTTGGAATAAAGATAACCTCAGCTTCCAGTGAAAATGTCGGTTCTGATATCACAGAGTGTGATAAATTATGTAGAAGAAGAAAACATTCCTGCGCTGAAAGCTCTTCTTGAGAAATGCAAAGATGTAGATGAGAGAAACGAGGTAAGACCAAGTTCTGCAGGTCAGTGCTTTCCACGAGTCTGTGTTGATGCCCCACTATGTGTAAGGCCGTGTCCAAGGGCAAAGGTGAGTCAGGAAGAAACATGTGGTTCCTACCCTTGGTATTGCTGACATAGAATTATGACATGATTTCTTAAAGTACAATCAATTCCATATTTTTGGAATGGATTTGAACTTATGTAAATGATTGTGTATTGACTTTAGATTTATGATTACCTTTTTTACAGATGGAATAATAAGTATTCAGGAAGTTGGGTTACTAAAATCTGAAGGGTTTCTAGGAAGCTTTAGAGAGGCCCAGTTTTTCTATAAATAGATTAAGCAGGCAAAATTAGGACTTTCTGAAATATTTTTACTAATGGAGCCCCAATTCCCTTTCTGAGTTATCCATTCCACACACCTTGGGATTTTTAAGACCCTACATCTTTAATTTTTTTTTTATCCTCACCCGAGGACACTTTTCCATTTATCTTCAGATAGAGTGGGCGGGGGAAAGAGAAAGAGAGGGAAAGAAACATTGATGCAAGAGACACAGCGATCGGCTGCCTCCTGCACACCCCAACTGAGGCCGAGGACCAAACCGCGACCTGGGTTCATGCCCTTGACCATAATCGAACCCGTGACTCTTCTGTCCATCGGCCAGTGCTCTAACTGCTGAGCCAAACTGGCCGGGGCCAGACCCTACATCTTTAAGAGAGAGTTAAATAGGTCATGTGTTCTGTTTAATAAGATAGGGAAGTATATATTTACCATTTCATTAACTTATGTTAGATATTTCTGTTCAACAATACAAGTAAATAAAATGTTGATCTTATTTCATCATGAACAGCCAAGCTGCAACATTTTATGGACTAATAGACTTTTTATGAATTTTTAATGGCAAAGTATGTATTTGTTTTATAAAACATAATAAAAATTTTGTTTCTTAAAACTGTATTTTCATTGTGGTGTAAGTTTTTGCCAGTGGTAAGATTATGAGAAGTGATTTTAGTTTTCACATATAGGTATATGTGTGTATGTGTGAACTTTTCTCCCTTTAGTCCTGATAATGCAGCTAATATATATTATTAGACCCATGTTCTATATCATAATATAACTGTATTATTAGAGAGCATTTGACTAGCATAGATACCTGGGATTTTTATATTGTTTGTGCAGAGCCTAGTATTACTTATGTTTACAGATTTTGAATGAAATTGAAGTGCCAAAAACAGATTAGTCATGCTGTGGTTAGAAACAATGTTTTATTTTCTCTTTGACTTTTACATTGTTAGTAAACTGAAAACTTAAGATTTCAAAGGTATTTCTAAATCAAAGAAGTTCTGTAAACAGTGCTTGGCATCCCATCACGGAGATGTCAGCGCGGCTGTATAAGGCATTGCGGTCCGAGCACAGCGTCGTGACGAGTTCTCTGCGCCTTCTCTGTTCCCAGTGCGGCCAGACTGCTCTGATGATCGCTGCTGAGCAGGGCAACCTGGAGATCGTGACCGAGCTGATCAGGAGCGGGGCTAATTGCCACCTGGAGGATTTGGTACATCTCGAAAGAATCTACTCATTTGTCTTCTTTTTCCCCCCTTAACTTTGCTGTTTGTTTTATGAAGTGATTCAAAAATAATAGGTTACAAATTATACTATCAGTTATATATCAGCTTTGCCTAGTAATATGTTAATTTTTTAAAAGGAATAGAGGTTTTTACTCCGAATGGAGTTCTCAGCGGTTCATGTTTTCATAGGTAGATGGCCCTGGCTGAACAGGGAGCACACACACAAAATTAAATGCCTGCTGGGAAATACTGTGCAGGACTTGGGTTTTCAAGTAGCCCTCACAATGGCATCCTTTGTTATAGACGTCATGATAATAGCCGGAAAGATGTGGTCCCTTCTGCGGTCACTTCTGAGGGATAAGTCACTGTTTCAAGAGGCTCACATTTCCTCTTACTGTCTCTGTCTCCTAGGAATTATGTTTTAGGGTCACACAGTACATCTGTTTTTTTAAATTGATTATTTTAAATTGATAATTTTATTGAATGGTCATTTGAATGAAATTACACTCATGAATAAAAGTTAGGATAGCCTTGATTTAAAAAATAAAAGAGAATAGTTATACTTTTATCATATCGTTTCTAGACTCATCGTGGGAACGCTTTAGTTTGATAGCTCGTGACTGCTCTTAAGTCTCATTACAGCCTTCGATTTCAGTTTAGAGTGAGGGTTACTAGCACAAGGATTAGCTTTGAGGTTTTGATAGTCATCTGTTCTCCTTTCTGAAAAAACATGGTATGTGATTAGAAGTCTGGTGAAAAGGCTGAACGAGCCGTTGTGAAAGCATCTCTGCCCACTGTAGTCATGCAGGCGGGCAGGTACCGCCTCACCCGGCTGGTGCGTGGGCGCTAGTTTAGAGGAGGGGGGTCATGTCAGTTTGGTATGATCGTGTGGTATGTACCTTCGAATTTCTTTTTCCTCACTTTGAACCGTATTCTTGGTTCTGAAATGGTCACATTTGTGTGTGTTCAAGGACAACTGGACGGCGCTCATATCGGCATCCAAAGAAGGGCACACGCACGTCGTGGAAGAGCTGCTGCGCTGCGGGGTCGACTTGGAGCACCGCGACATGGTGCGTGCACGCCCTGCACACGGGCAGCCGCGGCCTCGCACGTGGCGGGCGTGTGTGTGAGAGCTGGCTTGTTATGTGTGAGCTGACGTTATCATGATGTCTTTAGGATGTGGGCTTGGGAATCGAAGTGAATGTGTTAACACCCAGGTGGTATAATATACCTCTTTAAAATTTTCTTACTCGTCATTTTCAGTTTATTTGAGAGTTTAAAATTCTGAAATATTGTTAAAAATACTCTATTATTTAATATGCCCATGTTTTAGAACTTATGAGAGAATTGTTTGGGGAACTTTAAGAGGGACATATATAGTTTCAAGTTATTTGTAGTTGTTTAGTCATAATTTTTACGAGTTTATTTTTAAAGTGTAATTGTGTTTAGACATGCCATTTGTACACATTGTAAGCTTAACAAGAGATGATTCTTAATTATCTTGGCCTCTGCTTAAAGCATAAAGGTTAAGAAAGGGATCCTTTCTGGCTTACTTATTGTGTATAAGAGTTAAGAAAGAAAGGCATCGCTCTGACTTGGTCTGTAGAACCTGTGTTGTCACCTTGCTGGAGCTCTGGCCGAGGGGCCATCCGTCTTGCACGAGGTACCGCGCTCTGTTGTCAGCGCCGCCCTGTGGCCAAGGGTGAGTTTGTTCTCCCTGTCACTAGGCAGTTAGACCGCTAGGGGTGCCCTTCGCCCAGTCTCTCCGCCGTTGAGCAGCCAGGCTAAGTTTTGAACCCGTGTCTGCAAGGGAGTTAGGAAGTGTCACATATGCATTATGAATGTATAACGCTTAGTACGTTTGTAAAAAATGATTCCTTAAACTTTTTTAGTTTTCCATAGTTTGCATTTCCCCTAAGTCATTATCATAACACCTTTGAACATTTAAAGGGTCTTTGTGTTTGGCTTTAAAAAGCTTTAAAACACCCAAAACTGGGGAAACTGAGGAATGTGTCTTCCTTATCAGTTAGTTTTGAGGGGCTCTCGCCTCAAAGGGCTGGGGGATGCAGGGCTGTTGAGCGGTGAGGGAGGGCGTGGGCCTGGGACTGGGAAGGAGGGTACCACGGGGGTCGCTGGGGTGCAGGCACTTCCCGGGTATAAAGTCGGGAATCTAGGGAGGATTCTTTCTTGAAAGAACCTTTAATAGTTGCTGAACTACAGCTCTTGCTGAAGGCAGTCGGTTCCAATCTTTCAACTTTGTAAATCTGGACACGGTATTCTCAAGATAACATGTTTATCTCAGAGTCTTGCATAGGGTGACATCATATAAATTGAAGTGGGGCATGATACGAAAACAGTTCTGGGCAGGCATTTGACAAATTAAATACTGGCGTATGTAAGACTTGACTAAATGCCCAGCTCTATAATTTGAGCTAAATGATGTCAGCCTTTCCTTGTCTTTCATGACATCGATACTTTTGAAGACTGTTCGTCTGGCATTTTTTGAAAGTCTCTTCATCTGAACTTGTCTGATGTGTCTCATGATTAGGTCGTTATTGCACTTTATTGGGAAGGTGCCACAGAGGTGATCCCCTTCTCAGTGCACCACATACAGGTACAGATATCAATGCATCACTGGTGATGTTGACCTCGATGTCTTGATCTCTCTTCAGGTAGTGTCTGCTAGATTTCTATTTTTCCCTTTGTAACTACTGTATATTTTGGGGAAGAAACTTTGATACTATACAAACTATTCTGTTTTTATTAAACTTGCACTGATTTGTTTTAGCACCCAACAATATATCTTGTATGCAGCAATTATTCCTGCAGTATTATAGTGGTGATTTTTCTATTTTCCTTATTCTCTCTACATTTACTAATTGCAGTTCTTTTGTAAGGAAGAGTTCACTCTGTCTCTGTTTCGCATATAAACATATAGGGAGTCATGAATGTTTATTTTATTCTTTGGATTATATTCAGTTCTCTACCTATTTTGTCACTCAGGTTGGTCCAGCTTTGGCCATTGGGAACTTCTGCACCCTTGTAAGATGCTCTGTCCTTTTATTTAAAAACATTTTTTAGCCCTGGCCGGTTTGGCTCAGCGGTTAGAGCGTCGGCCTGCGGTCCGGAGAGACCCGGGTTCGGTTCCTGCTAAGGGCATGTACCTCGGTTGCAGTTTGTCCCCGGCCCTGGTTGGTCGTGCGGGTGGCAGCCACTCAATGCGTCCCTTTCACGTCGATGTTTCTCTCTCTCTCTTCCTCTCTCTCCCTCCCACTCTATCTGTACAAAAAATGGAAAAATGTCCTCAGGTGAGGGTGAAAAAAACAAAACAAATAAAAACATTTTTTTAAAAGTACTTCCTTACTTTCTGGCACCACACAGTCCTTCGGGCTCAGGTTTATCTTGTATTTTTCCCTTGCTTATTTTCCTGATCAGTCCTGGAATCAGTTTTCCAAGGAACTTTTTTCAAAAAGGGTATTTAGATATCAATATGTAGGTGTTGAGTGTGCTTATTGCCACTGGGGTGTCACTGGTTGTAGTTCTCAATGGATAGATGCAGGAACTACATCTGTATACTCACTCTTGCATATGCATACATTTATTTCTGAATCTGTATGTGTGTGTGTTTAAAAAGGAGACCAGGTTGACATTACCAACTCGGTCCATTGTAGCCTTCTCCCTTTCTTTAATTCATAGCTCTTCTCTGATGGTAAGAAATCTGCTCTCATTATGTACATGATATATTTGCTTACTTGTTCAACTTTGGTGTACAAAGTCTGATCCATACCTGGAGAGAAATGGATTTACCTACTAACTGCAGTGTTTGTGTACAGTTCCTTTTGTCTTTAGCATTGTAGTATTCAATCAAAATATTGTTTTCCAAAGTTATTTAGCGTCAGCTTTTAAGTAATTATATGATTCATTTGTAATGTAGTTTGGTTCATTTGTCCCTGTCTGTATTCTATCTCCCCATATTCTGGTGACTTTTAAGAAAATTTACATACAGTAAAATTCACTCTGTAGTGTGTGTTCTGTGTATTTGAACAGGTGCGAAATGTCATATACCCACCACCACAGGTCTGTGCAGGGCATTTCTGTCACCTCCCCTTCACCCCGTCACTGCTTCTTTACAGGAACCCTCTGCTTACTCCCCTGCACCTCACCACCCCTGGTCTCTCTGCCCTTTCTACAGTTTGCCTTTTTCAGGTTTGGGCAAGTGCTTTTTTAAACCTCCTTTTAGTGATGATGAAACAAAAGCAAAATAACTAAATGATTTATATTCTCAGAACCAAATGTGGATTGGTCCACATACTACTGATTTTAAGAAACAAAACATTCATTTCATAGTATAATTTGATTACATTGGTCTCTTTTATTGAGTTGCATTATAGCTAAAGAGAAAATTACTCAAAAAAAGAAAATTGTTTCTGTAGCATAGAGAATAGAAAGTTTTCATGCTGTTAATTCAAATTTGATAACGTGGGCCAGCCCTGGAAATCCTGATCTTTACCTTAGTATCCTCTCTCTCTTAGCAATGCACAATATATTACCTGGGATCAGAGGGTGTGCTAACATTACCTGGTATCAGAGGGTGTGCCAACATTACCTGGGATCAGAGGGTGTGCTAACACTACCTGGGAGCACAGGGTGTGCTAACACTACCTGGGAGCACAGGGTGTGCTGACATTCAGGAGCTGACTGGTTGCTGGAATCCCTCTGGAAGAAGTCTGGACTCAAACAAGGAGATTATTAAAAGAAGCTGTTTCAAACAGCTAAGATAGATTTTGAAAAAAAGCCAACATGAATGTTCTTTATTTCAGTTGTCATGATATAGTACTAAATTTGGAATAATTATTTCTGCACTTAAGAAATTTAACTTATTTTAGGTATATTGTGTATTTCTTATTGTATATTTCTCTGAGGAGCCTGGGAATTTAAAACTACACAGTAGTGCCTTCATAAAGCAATGGTTTTATAAATGACATTCATGGAAGGAACTTTATTAATGGCATTTTTATGCTTGGAGACTATCTAAAATGTTATTTTCTCCTCCCTTCCTTTTTAGGGAGGATGGACAGCTCTCATGTGGGCATGTTATAAAGGCCGAACCGAAGTGGTCGAGTTGCTGCTTTCTCATGGTGCCAATCCAAATGTCACTGGTCTGGTAAGCAGTGACAGACTCGGTGTGCTGCACGTGGTCGGCTCTCGTGGGCATAATTCGAGATTCCACTGAGTCCACTGGAGACTTCAGAGTGACTGCAAACGATCTCAATCTTCTTAAAGATAAGAGTGAAGAATGTGATTTCAAAACACAATGACCATTTTTTTTCTCAAACTCAGCTTATTTCTCAGTTTTTATCAACAAAAAGGCAAATCAGCATTAATGTTAATTATAACTATCTAACATTTCAAAAGGAGTTTTGAAATCCTTGTCACCTTGCCTTTTTCTGTGGGCATGTATTCTTAATCTAAACTTTTTTTTTTTTTAAAGAAAAGAGACTTTTTCTGTGCATTCTTAAAGATGATGCATGCGTTACTGCTTAGCAGGAGACTGTGATCTCACACTGCAGACGGAGGGACTGTTTCACTGATGGAACTCTTTCATAATAATTGTATATCAAATCACGTTGTACACTTTAAGTAGCTCACAATTTTGTCAATTATACCGCAATACAGCTGAAACAAAGAAACTTTTATTAAAGTTAACAGAAGGGTTATGTAAGAAAAGTCTCACATTCCTGTGGTCAGTCTTGCCTGTTGGTTTGATAATCACATTAAATATGTTGAATCTGAAAATAAATGTGTTCATACTATAGATTTATTTAAGGGTGAGTGCATCTCAGCTGCCAATCATGTATTAGAGTATTATGTGTTTTTAAAGTGGAGAATGGTCTGTAACTTGATTTTTAAAATATGACTTTGTGTTATTCTGTTTGTTATTTACTTTTCTTAGCTGTAAATATCTACCTAAAAGATGTTTTTCTTTCCCTCTCTCCCTGTCTTGCCTCTTCCCTTTCCGCCTGCCCCGCCCCCGCCGTCTCCCAGCAGTACAGTGTCTACCCCATCATTTGGGCAGCGGGCAGAGGCCACGCAGATGTAGTGCATCTTTTACTGAGAAATGGTGCGAAAGTCAACTGCTCCGATAAGGTGGGTCAGCAGGACCTTGGGTCCGGTCTGTGATGTCCACTCAGTGTGTCCAAGTTACAAGTGTGTTCATACCATCTCTTGAGGCTGCTGAGGCGCATTCTATTTATATATAGTTTATGGAACTATACATGTCTCATACATGAGGCCCTTATGTGTATTATGTACTAAGTGTCCTTCCATTGTTTTTAATATCACATTCATCGTTCTCAGGAAAATAGACAGGGAGGATTCTGTCTTCATTATTTGAATTTTTCTGTCGTAACTTTCTTCCTGTCTTCAGTCCTGTCTGCTTTTTGTGTGTTGTTACCAGAATGATCTTTCTAAAATTCAAGTCATCTCTCTCATGCTTAAAATTCTAAAGACATCAATCCCTGGCGTGACATGTGAAGATGGGCCTTATCTCCCTTTCTACCCCTTCTCCTACTATCGATACCCCAAACTACCTGTGTACAGTCTCTTAAGAGGATAGCTTGTTGGAAAACTTCCTTAGGATAGGAGAGGCCTCACCTAGTTTGTGGGAAGAGGAAATGAAGAAAAGACTGATGGTGTGGGAGGAAAGCGGAGTATGTTTCTAGGTGAGACAAGGAAACAGGACCTGTGGTACACACAGAGGGTTAGAGTTACTGGGGATAACGGCCAGGGTTTGAGAAAAGCAGGGAGAGTTACCGAGGCGGCTCTGAGTACCGACTGCAGCAGTGTGTGCAGGTGTCAGGAGCCCTCCGTGACGATGAGAGCGAGACAGCCTGCAGACAGGGTGAGGGTCTGGCTGACATGGGGGGTTTACAGTGTATGATCTGGTCTAGTCTCGTGCCACAAGAAGGGTAAAGTTTTCAAAGGACGAGTGCTCTATTATATTATCTCTGAAGATATCTAAGATTTTTAATTTGTAGACTTAGGAAGGCAAGTCAGCCAGACAGAATGTTATCCACAAAGGAAGAGGCTAGAAAAGAATTTAATTCTGGGAGAATATCGATGCAAATGAAATTGGAGAGTTTCTCCAGTACACCTACCTTATTCTGTCTCAGCCTGCTCCAGGGCCGTGGTCTTGACAGCTGCCTACCTCTCATGTGTCTCTCCCCTTTGGAGGTTCTTACTCCCACGTGCTGGACGAGCTGGCTGTCCCCAGGCCCTGTTCATCCAGGAAGAGCCCCGCCACGCTTCAGCAGTGTGCTCCCTGGGACGTGGGATGTCAGCGATAGAGCTGCTGCCCAGGCGGTAGCCACCAGCCACACAGAGCTGGTCAGACTTAGCTCCGTTACAGTGAGATAAAGTACAGGGAAATAATGCCATTTCCTAATCAAGCTCGCCACATTTCAAGCGCTCAGTGGCCATAGGCGACTAGTGGCTGGTGCAGAATTGTGGAGCATTTCATCAGCACAGAGAGTTCTCCTGGATAGGGCCTTCATGAACTGTCCCTGTCAGTCCGCAGTCCCCGTGTGGTTAAAGGTCACCGTGGGCATCATGTCTCTTGCCTGCCAGCCTCCCCAAAGGTGAAGGCGTTGCTATGCTGTGCGTGATTCATGGTCTCAGGTGCCTTTTGAATCGTATTCCAGCAAAAGGTGCCTTGAGTGCAGTTTCTGGGCTGCGGCTGGTTTTGTCAGTGCAGAGCTGGTCTGGGTGTGGTCAAGAGCGCAGACTGAAGCCAGGCTTGTTGGGCTCATAGTCTCGCTCCGCATCATAATAGCTCTGACTGTGAGCCTGGGGCTGACTGCTTGGGGCCTCGCTGCTTCTGTGGGAAGATGTGATGTTGCCACTTGTACTGGCTCTTGTGGTAAGGGTTCCATGAGTTTACATGTAAAGTAGTTAGAGCTGTGTTTCTACTGGACTGTTACTATTTTTGCCCATAGTCAGACTGTTGACCTTTATTTATTTATTTATTTTTTTAATCCTCACCTGAGGACATTTTTCCAATTTTTTTTCAGATAGAGTGGGAGGGAGAGAGAGGAACAGAGAGAGAGAGAAACATCGACGTGAAAGGGACACATCGAGTGGCTGCCACCCGCACGACCAACCAGGGCCGGGGACAAACCAACCGAAGTACGTGCCCTTAGCGGGAACCGAACCTGGGTCTCTCCGGACCGCAGGCCAACGCTCTAACCGCTGAGCCAAACCGGCCAGGGCCAGACTGTTGACCTTTAAATTGTATTTCATAAGATATGGGAATAACAAAAGCTTGTTGACAATTAGAGTGTATGACTTTATGATGAACAATTGTCATTCACTGACTATAAGAGATAAAGTTGCTTAAAAGATGTTTCATGCAGTGGTCAATTATATCTGTTCTGGAGAAATTAAATGGGGGGAAATGATTTAGCTACACATAAAATGATGATTGGGGTAAGCAGTAAGCTAGGAATACTCAAAAGTGTGATTTTTATCAAAATTTATGAGAGCTAGTTTCTTTTTGTACACTTTGATAATAATTTTAAACATATTGTTTGTCTTAATAGTATGGCACCACCCCGTTGGTTTGGGCTGCACGCAAGGGTCACCTGGAATGTGTAAAGCATTTGCTGGCCACGGGAGCGGATGTTGACCAAGAAGGAGCTGTACGTATCTTTCCTGTTTTAACCCCTGGTCATAGAGACGTGTTTTCAATTCTTAGAGAAAGAATATCTTTTCTTAGTATATGCCTGGAGAAATTTCTTACAGTTCTTAAATGATACTGAGAAAAACAAGCATTCTCTCTCTGTTACTCTGATAAGCATTGTATTATAGATACCACGCACTCTAAATTCATGCTCTTTGGGATTCATTGCTAATACACACAGATTTGGGAGGCTAAAACTATATAAAGAATACCATTTGGTAATCTTAGTGTAAGTCTAAATAGTCTCAGGTCAAATAGCTTGAAATATATTAATTGTGGGGAAAAGTTTTGCCCTATTAAAATTTCTTTTATTTAAAATTTAAAAATAATATTGTACTTGTTTTGTACATTTTTAGCTGTGACTTATTTTCCTTCTTCAGTAGACAGATAAAAAGATATCAGAAATCAGTGGTCCAAAACTTCAAAAGCTTAAAAATTGGGTCAAACCTCCTACCAGTGAGCAGTTCTTAATTCCTTACTGCGCACTGCTGTGGACTCAGCCATGTGCAGTGCTGGGGCCCTGCAGAAGCCCACAGTTGCTTGTCCCTTGAGATTCTAGAGTACAGTTAAAGGACATGACATTTATGCATGAGAACAATGCAGACAGATACTGTTGGTATCCTAAGTATTACGTGAGATGGATTATAGCGGATTCTGAGAAGAGATGCTACCGAACCTCTGGCTGCAGTGAAGAAGAGTGAATTCTAAGTCATTATTAACTTATTACATAATATCAACCAGTTTCTCTGCTTTCCATATTGGTAGAAGCTACTAAGTGCTGACCTTCAGGGAACGTACAGCCTCTCAGTGCCGCATGGAGACAGTGGGGTCGCAGACAGCACGGAAGTCTCACCTTTCACTTTCCTCCTGGACAGTTTACCACGTGGGCGAGCAGCTTGTCTGTGGTCACTGACTGCTGACCAATGGAAAGGCTGTGTTCCTGCCCTGGCCGGTGCGGCTCGGTTGGTGGGAGTGCCATCCCATGACTGCAAGGTCTCGGGGTTGATTCTGGTCAGGGCACATACCCGGGCTGTGGGTTTGATCCCCACCGTGGTCAGGGCTTGTGTGGGAGGCAGCCGATCAGTGTTTCTCTCTCACATCGATGTTTCTCTTCTCTTTCTGTCTAAAAGTCAATGGCCTTGTCCTCAGGTGAGGATTTGGAAAGGAAAAGAAAAGGCTATGTTATTTTAATATGTGAGAGAATTATGGTTTAGTTTTGGGGGCAGATCTAATAACTGAAATGTTTCTATAAGTAAATTATATGACATCTCAAAATAGGCCACAATTTGAAGGAGTAATTTTAATACTTCTTTTGGTAATGAGTCAGTTTCTTCTTTTAGATGATTTATTGTAAATTAGATGTGTAGTTTTTTTAAAGAACTAAATTTTTGAAAAGGGGTTTCTAGATCACTGTAAAAGACAGGAGAATATATTATACTTTTAATGAAGTATTCTATAGCTACTAAGTCATTGCTTTTAGTTTTTTCCATACATTTTATTATAAACCATTCTTTGTTTAAAGTCTGAAAGACCTTACTTTGGATTATTTAGTTTAGAATGTGTTTAATTTTGAATCTTGTTTTATACTTTATTACATTTGTGAGAGGGTTTGTTTATTATAAATGAGTCCAATTTCAGATGATCATCTAAAGAATTGAATGTCATAACAGTCCTGTTGATTCAAGAGAATTAATGTATTTTCAAAAATAGAAAATATACCTCCTGGCCATGTTTGAGATGTTTCTGGTTATTTATTTATTTATTCTTTATTGATGTTCGAGAGAGAGAGGAAGGGAGAGAGTGAGGGAGACAGAAACATTGATGACAGAGAACATGCATTGGCCGCCTCCTGCACGCCCCCCACTGGGGATTGGGCTCACAACCTGGGCATGTGCCCTGACCGGGAATCTAACTGGCGATGGCCCCTTCGTGCATGGGTTGATGCTCAACCACTGAGCCACACCGGCCGGGCTGTTTCTGGTTATTTATATTGATGTTTTATTATCAGAAATAACTGTTAATAGGCCACCTACTTGAAAACATCAGTTTTATTATCATGACATAAGTCATGTTTCCTAGACTATATTAATTTCTTGGGCTTGTTTCTGTGTTTAGAATTCAATGACTGCACTTATTGTGGCTGTAAAAGGAGGCTACACACAGTCAGTGAAAGAAATTCTGAAGCGGAATCCCAATGTGAACTTGACAGACAAGGACGGAAACACGGCGCTGATGATCGCGTCGAAGGAGGGCCACACGGAGATCGTGCAGGACCTCCTGGATGCTGGCACTTACGTGAACATCCCCGACAGGGTGGGTCGCCTGTGTCCTCGCGGGCCTGACTGCTCCCCACCTCTCAGGCTTCTTCATGCGTGACGGCCAGTTGTTTTAGATACGTTTTATTTCTACCTCTAGACTAGCAAGTTAAAACCATTCAGTCACTGCAGGGTGTTCTTTCTAATTTTTGTCAAATGGCGTTGTTACTGAAAACGGCACATGTACTATCAGTTTGTAACTGTCCTTGATGCATCTCTCTGTCGATGTTTTCCATGGTCTCTGGCCTTCAAGTACCACCCTTCCACTTAAACTTTTCCGAACTGTGTGTCTTGCTGTAACCTCTTCCGAGAACCCTGCCGTTGTGCCCGCTCCGCTCGCGCTCTGCTCAGACGGGCTTTCTGAGATCAGGCGCAACCGAGGCTGTGTTCGCCTCATCCCCGACCTGCTTCTCCCCAGTCTTTTCCAGCTCAGTGACGGTGCAGCGGCCACCCTGGTGTTAGGGCCCCAAGTCCCTGGTTTCTCTTCTTCCCACAGCTTATACTTCAGCAGCTCCATTTGCTCTACCTCCAGGACATGTCCTTGACCCGCGCACTTCCTTCACTTCCAGTACCACCGCCCCACCCCAGGCCACCGCGTCCCTTCGTCACAGCAGAAGTCTTAGCTGGGTTCTCTTGTTGGCTCTAGTTGATTCCACACACTGTTCCCAGAGTGCTCTTCAAGCAGTGAATGTCCTGTGTGCTCCTTTGCTTAAAACCATGCAGGCTCCCTCCTGCACGCGGGGGAGCTGTACGTCTCGCTCGTAAGTGCTGCGCGCCACTGCCGGTGCCGGCCGTCCCCGCTCTCTCGCTCCTGTGGCAGCCGCTCTGCCTTCCCCGACGTTCCTGAGCCCGGTCTTGTCGCTGCCGTGGGGCATCTGCCCCAGCGGTGCTCCGCCTGATGCTGGTGCTCAGGACCTCGTGGGGCTGCTCCGCCTCCCTCCAGGCTTAGCTTCAGAGAACCTCCTCGGGGATCTCCAACCACGCGGTCCAGCGGAGCTGCCCGGTCATGTCTGTCACATCACTGTGTTTATTTGTGTGGCATTTGTCTGAAGTTCTATTTTTGTTTATTGTATGTTGTCTGTGTGCTCTGGACGGTCAGCTCTCTTAGAGGTGGGGCCGCTTCCGTCTTGTTTCCCTGTGCCTAGGAGGGTGCAGGGCACACACGCAGCGAAGTGTTTATAACCTTTTAGTAATGTGCTGGTCTGGACCCATCGCAAAGCTGACCTCACTGCAGCTTCTCTGCCGCGGCTGGCAGCTGCTGCTAGCGCCGTGGTTGGGATGCTGTACCACGGAGCTGAGGCTGATGATCCTTCAGGACCTGCTCTTGATGTGTGGCCCCTGCGCCCACCCAGGACTGAGATGAGCAGAGCTCACAGTCTCAGCCAGTCCAGGTCCCCACAGCTGATTGTAATGTAGCAGTTAGAACAATGAGGCCCATTGCCGAACAGCCGTTTCCATTATTTGAGGCAATGAGAAGGTCTAACTAACAATGATGCCGCATGGTGAACATAGGGTCAGGGCAAAGATGTCCTTATGAGCGAATGGACTTCATCTAAGCCTTGTTCTCGAACGAGTCAGCCTGGTGCCCTGCTGGCCTCTGATCCGGTGGACTAGCCTGTGACGCTGCTCGGAGGGCCCGCCTTCTCCCTCGGGGGGGTGTCACAGGCCCGAGCTGGCTCTCGCCCCGCAGCTCCTGTTGCAGGGTCCGCGGCTTCCGTCCTGAGCACGGTTCCAGCGGATGTGCTGCGTAAGGCCAGAGTTCACCTGTTTGTTGACAGCATGGTGTCACTTCACGTGGTTGCCATCTGCAGCGGGGTACTTCCAAAGGCAGTGGCCCACTGTTCCGGTGACCTGTCTCCTACACCTGTCCTGGGATCTCAGAGACCTCATTTTGAGGTTGATAGTCTCTGTCTCACTCTGAGGGCATTGCTATCAGGTATTAATATTAGTTAACTAACGTTTTCTCTTTCTTCAGAGATAGCTTTTCCCAAGAGATTTTTCAGGGGAACAATCTGTTATATTAATGCACATTTAACCCTAACTTCAAAGCTGTGTTTATTTGTTGCCATCATCGAGTCACCTTGTGTTTTTGTCTTCGTAGAGTGGGGACACTGTGCTGATCGGTGCTGTGAGAGGTGGCCACGTGGAAATTGTCCGAGCGCTTCTCCAGAAATATGCTGACATCGACATCCGAGGCCAGGTGCGTGCGGCTGCGGCGCTGGGCCAGCTCGAGTCCTCGGGTCGTGCCGGTGACTGGCCGTGGCGGCTTCTACCAACTGGGACCCTGACGTATCTGATAGGGCCTCTGTCACGTTTCACTGCCGATGTTGTGGGCTTTCTGTATTCGTGTCGTTAGATTTAGATGGAAGTACATAAAAATGAAGCTCATGCTCTTTCAACACACCACTGTTACTGATGTATGAGTGTGTCCAGTCCTGGAACGAGCAGGGTGTGCACCGAGGCCGCGAGTTACTGTTCCTGATGTGTGAGTGTATCCAGTCCTGGAATGAGCAGGGTGTGACACCCAGGCCGCGAGTTACTGTTCCTGATGTGTGCGTGTATCCAGTCCTGGAATGAGCAGGGTGTGACACCCAGGCCGCGAGTTACTGTTCCTGATGTGTGCGTGTATCCAGTCCTGGAACGAGCAGGGTGTGCACCCAGGCCGCGAGTTACTGTTCCTGATGTGTGAGTGTGTCCAGTCCTGGAACGAGCAGGGTGTGACACCCAGGCCGCGAGTTACTGTTCCTGATGTGTGCGTGTATCCAGTCCTGGAACGAGCAGGGTGTGCACCCAGGCCGCGAGTTACTGTTCCTGATGTGTGCGTGTATCCAGTCCTGGAACGAGCAGGGTGTGCACCCAGGCCGCGAGTTACTGTTCCTGATGTGTGCGTGTGTCCAGTCCTGGAATGAGCAGGGTGTGACACCCAGGCCGCGAGTTACTGTTCCTGATGTGTGCGTGTGTCCAGTGCTGGAAGGAGCAGGGTGTGCACCCAGGCCGCGAGTTACTGTTCCTGATGTGTGAGTGTGTCCAGTGCTGGAAGGAGCAGGGTGTGCACCCAGGCCGCGAGTTACTGTTCCTGATGTGTGCGTGTATCCAGTCCTGGAACGAGCAGGGTGTGCACCGAGGCCGGGAGTTACTGTTCCTGATGTGTGCGTGTATCCAGTCCTGGAACGAGCAGGGTGTGCACCCAGGCCGCGAGTTACTGTTCCTGATGTGTGCGTGTATCCAGTCCTGGAACGAGCAGGGTGTGCACTCAGGCCGCGAGTTACTGTTCCTGATGTGTGCGTGTATCCAGTCCTGGAACGAGCAGGGTGTGCACCCAGGCCGCGAGTTACTGTTCCTGATGTGTGCGTGTATCCAGTCCTGGAACGAGCAGGGTGTGACACCCAGGCCGCGAGTTACTGTTCCTGATGTGTGCGTGTATCCAGTCCTGGAACGAGCAGGGTGTGCACCGAGGCCGCGAGTTACTGTTCCTGATGTGTGCGTGTATCCAGTCCTGGAACGAGCAGGGTGTGCACCCAGGCCGCGAGTCACTGTTCCTGATGTGTGCGTGTATCCAGTCCTGGAACGAGCAGGGTGTGCACCGAGGCCGCGAGTTACTGTTCCTGATGTGTGAGTGTGTCCAGTCCTGGAACGAGCAGGGTGTGCACCGAGGCTGCTAGTGCCTCTTCACGTGGATGCTGTCTGTCTGTGTTTGGTAGCATCCACTCCGTGTCACCTCCTCCTGTCCCCGTTGCTGAGTCTGCTCTGTGTCCCTGGGCCACTCGGCAGTGCCTGTGGACTTCGCTTGAGGCAACCACAGCTCCAAGGGTTCTTAGTTTTAGGTAAAACCTTCCCTAAACTTGTGGATTTATCCAATATTTTAGGAGCTTTAGATTGAAAAGAATCTGTTCTTCGTAGCCCATTTTGTTGTTGGACAGTGTGTATTTCTGCTCAGTGTTTTCTTGTGTTTAGCTTGTATTCAAATCTGGTTTTGAATCAAACTAGTAAGTGTTATGCCAAACACTGTGAGGAACTGGACCCAGGACCTTGCCTGCAAGGCCTTATTTAAGTTAGGAAGATTTTAGTTCATTTCTGTTTATTTTTATTTTTTATGTAAACGTCAAAAGTGATTCCACTTTTGGTTTCTGATGGTATGTGGTTGATTGCCGAGAGGGAGGGTCAAATGGGAGTCTGAGGTGAGGAGAGGGCGTGAAGGGAGGCTTCTGGGAGAAGGAAGATTTGTGCTGTTTCAGGGATGGGTTGGCTTTAGACAGGTAGAGAAGAGGAAGGCTGGGTGTTTCAGGCAAGGGTCGCGGAGTAACAGGATGGGAACCTTTGGGAAAACGGGGAACTGAAGGACTGCTCCTTAGCTGGTGGACAAATCAGGCTGCGGTGGGCGGTGGGGAGCGTGGGATGTGAGACAGAGATGGAAGTAGGAAGGGGGGTAGGGCCAGAGAGGTTCGAGTGCCCAGCGGAGGAGTTGGGACACGAGTGTACGTTTGTGAGCAGGGGAACTCCTCTGGGGAGACCTCGGTATCGGAAACTCAGTGTGTTAGTAGCAGAAAGTCACTCACTATCCTTTGGGCTAAAATAATATGCTCACTAAAAGATGGTTACTGGATCGCCTATTCCGACTTTCACGTAGCTCCCTTTTGCCTGTCAGTTCTGTTTTCCTACGTTTCAGCCAGTTTACTTTGTCCTCTCGTTCCACTTTCAAGGTCTGTGTTGATCTGTTCTGGGGTTTAGAACTGGGTAGGATTTTAAAGGATCTGATCAAGATTGGTACGTGGTGTGGGATAGGTGAAGATTAAAGAAGCTAAAAATGATTAAAACAATTCACCTTAGTATGTGTAGTATGTCTCATGCATCACCTTTTGAAAAGATTGGGCAGATGGAAAGGCAGGGGTCACTTGTCCAAGGATGTGGAGCTCAGGGATCGAGGACTTCTAACCCAGCGCATGGCCCTGAAGCCCGGTCACATCACAAGAGTACACATCACCACATCGACTGAGATCGCTCTTTCCACGTCAAGTTCATTCCGTTTCCCTAGGCTTTCCTAAAGAAGTTCTCAAAAGTAAATCTGAGATAGAATGAGGATTGATCTCATTTCCCACCATGCTGTCTTTTGTAAGATCTGTTGCTTTCTGGCAGAAATGTTAGTGATGATCTTTAATATTTACAAATCGCATTTTATAAATATTGTGTCCTACATGAAGCCATTGTTGACTTTTTATTACATAGGACAATAAAACTGCTTTGTACTGGGCTGTTGAGAAAGGCAACGCGACCATGGTGAGAGACATCTTGCAGTGCAACCCCGACACGGAGATATGCACGAAGGTATCTGTCGGCTCTTCGTCCCCCAGCCAGTGCAGGGCCGTCCTGCTGGTTCTGAGTCATCCCTGACGTAGAAATACACTGATTTCACTGGTAACATCTGTGTTAGATGGAGAGGTAACTCCGCGTCCTGTCAGGAATTGTGTATCCACAGGAAAACAGAGTATAATTTATTACTTTAGTCAAATATGTTCAGAAAATATAATATGAGCTATTTATCACCTGTGGACAGATAATTTCCAGAATTCTTTTATGCTCCCATTGTTTGGAATGCAGAACACATTTCCTTTACAAAGACCACTGTGAGTGGTTATTGTCCCAAACCAGCCACTATAGTCTGTTTTACTCAAGTCATGTGAAAGATAGAAACTATATAAGACTTTAGTGATTGTATTTGGCCTTATGTGTAATAGTTTTTCATGGAGAAGGTACATTTGGAATTTTAGAGTGAAAGGGTGCGAATTCTTAATGAATAACACAAACGTATGGAGTAGCCCATGAGACAAGCCTGTTTCATCTACAGAGATGGAGAGAGCATCTTTCTAAACCAGTGGTGGTACCTTCAGCGCCACAGGCAGAAAGGTTCCTGGGATCGTCTGTTTCTTTATCCTTGGCTCGCATGTCAGCCACCTTAGTACCACCTGTGGCTGCTGGCCAGGTCTGTCCTCATTCAGGCCGAACTGTGTCTCTTCTTATTGTTGAAGCAGTCAGGGACTCGCGAGGTTTTCAGAGGCAAACTGCTTGTATCACGTTGTTCTCCCTGCTACAGACAGGTCCAAGGGCCGCAGAAAACAGAAGTGACGCTGGTGTAGACCCTGCAGAAATCTCGACCCTGGCTGCTGGGCTGCGGTTGACTGGGGGTGGAGAGAAGGACAGGAGCCTCCGGAGGCGCCGGCCCGGTGTCAGCGGAGGAAGTGGGGGTGGCAGTAGCAGTGAGGGGCAGGGCACTGGCCAGCAAAGGCAGAGAAGGTTGTGGGCCGCACCTCACACCTGGCTGAGTGATAGCAAATTATTTTGATACAAAAGCTTGATTGTGAAAGGAAAAGCACTTTCTGTGTTAGTTTTTACAACCATGTTTTCTTGAGGCCATTTTGGATATAGACTGGTACCAGAGTCAGGTAATTGACTTCTTACATGTGCGTTCATGTGACTTTAAACATTTGGGAGTAAAGCTAGCAATTTGGCGAACCTCTGTGCCCGCAGGACGGCGAAACGCCGCTGATCAAGGCCACCAAGATGCGGAACATCGAAGTGGTGGAGCTGCTGCTGGACAAAGGGGCCAAGGTGTCCGCCGTGGACAGGGTGAGACACCGTGTGGAGGGAGCGCCGTGGGCACGGTGGTCGGGAGGCTGACCTGGCCTCTGGTGGATTTATAAGGGGTCTGGTGGTGTTTGTGCAGGGAGAGGTTACTTGCTGGGCACCCCTTGTGGGATTTCGATGCTGGCTTCCTGGTGGTTCCCACGGCCTGTGAGCAGCGGGCGGGCTCCGTGTGCTGGTGGAGAATTGCCCTGCCTGGTTAGGGCGCGGCCAGGGCTCGTGCAGGAGGACATTGTCGGGTGTGGGCTCCTGGCAGATGCACCGCAGGGGAGCCCCCAGAGGGCCGGAGGGGAGGTGTTCTGCCTGCATCCAGCCGTGGTCCTCGCTCCCGTGGACGGGCTAGCGGCACGGGCTGGGACGCTTATGGCCAGATGGGGAGAGAGTTGTAAGTAGAATATAAACTAGTTGGGGAAGGTGATGGACATCTGTGGACAGTGGAGACTGGGACGGGGGATGGTTACTGACCTTGATGGGATGGGTCCGTGGCCCAGGAGGAGCTCATGGAGAAGGCTGGTTGCTTCTCTCTCAGTGACGTTCGGGGAGGGGAGAGGAATGACCCCATTTCGGAGGGCCGAGGGAGAAGTAGTTCCTGAGGAAACTAGGTAGGGAACACAGAAAGAAATTGCAGGGAACATAGGAGATAAGAGTTCACATGTTTGTACTCCATATGAAAAATGTGAAGAGTTTGGACTTTCAGATATTTTATAGAAACATGAACATTGTTACTCTGTATGTACCATATGTGGAAAATACGAACATTCCCGTTCCCTGCCACCATGTACAGAAAGGAGACACCCCTTTGCACATTGCTATTCGTGGGAGGAGCCGGAAACTGGCAGAACTTCTCTTACGGAACCCCAAAGATGGAAGGCTGCTGTACCGGCCCAACAAAGCAGGCGAGACGCCCTACAACATCGACTGCAGCCACCAGAAGAGCATCTTAACTCAAATATTTGGAGCCAGTAAGTGTCGGGCTTTGTTTCTGACCAAGTGCTTACAAAGTGAGTGTCTGAAGAAAGCAAGAGGCCAAGAGCAGTTTTGCACCTGTCACTCAGCTGGAGATGACAGAAGTTGTGGCAGTTGTTTTACTGGGGACAGATGCCCCCGTCTGAAGCTCCTTTGCGGCGTGTGGTGCTCTCTCAATCTAGCCTGCTTTGCTAGACATCTCGGCCGCCATTCCCCCGGGCCTGGGAGCCGCTGCCCAGAAGGCGCCGTCTCTGCGTGGCTCCAGCACCCGCAGCCTCTGCCCCTGCTTTGCGGTGCCACCGCCGGGGTCGCCGCTCCTTCCCTCTCTCTGCGGCTCCCTGATGCCATCCCTGCTGTGTCCAGCCTGGTACCTCTCCTGCCTCCTTTAGACGCTGAGCATTTGTGTTTATACTCTTTTCTAATATGCGTTATATATGGCGTGTTACCCTGTCTCTTTTAGAATTTTCTTCCTTATTTCTTTTAGAGTTTTCTCCCTTCCAGACTCCACGTTCTTCAGGGCCTGACTGCCCTCTGTAACATCTAGCATAATGCCCTGAGTGTTGTGCTAAAACAGGTTTTGCTTAACAAGAATGTACATGACAGTGTGAGCATTCATATGCGGTCTTTTGAAATATGGAACAATTCTAGTAAGACAGTTTCTATTAGAATTAAAAAAAAGAGATCTTCCACTTTAGTTTCTCACTGCATCTTGTTTTTAAATATGATTCTTATATTTTAAAATACTTTTTAATTATAATAATGTACACTCACAAATTTTCAAGAATGAAGACACAAATATAGTGGAAAGTATACATTTCCCAGTCCCCTAGCCTCTAACTCAATTGTTTGAATGACCCCCATTTCTAAAAATGTTTTATACCATGTATAGCTTTTGAAAAATCAGCTCATCCCTGGTCGGTTTGGCTCAGCAGTTAGAGTGTTGGCCCTCGAACTGGAGGGTCATGGATTCAATTCCCGGTCAAAGACGTGTACCTGAGTTGCAGGTTTGATCCCCAGTCCTGGTTGGGTTATGCGGGAGACAGCCAATCGATGAATCTCTACATCGATGTTTCTCTCTCTCTCTCTTCCTCCCTCCCACTCTATCTAAAAATCAATGGGAAAATATCCTTGGGTGAGAATTAACCAAAAAAAAAAATTAACTCATACCATATAAAAGTTTTTAATAATGAACTATGTCATATTTCTTTTTTCACTTCTGAATTTTTTTTTTATTGTTGAAAGGATTACAGATGTCTTCCCTTTTATCCCCTCATTGACACACTTCCCTGCTCCTGCCCTGCTCCTGCTTTCCCCACACTAACGTCTGTGTTCATCAGTTGTGCTGTATGCATATAAGATCTTTGGTTTACCTCTTCCCACTCCCCACCCCCATTCCTCTGAGGTTTGTCAGTCTGTCCCCTACTTCCATGACTCTGGATCTGTTTTGATCGACAGCTTATTTTGTTCATGATAAGCCATAAATACATGAGATCATGTGGTACTTGTCCTTTTTTGACTGGTTTATTTCGCTTAGCATAATACTCTCCAGGTTCCTCTATGTCGTCTCAAAGGATAAGAGATCTTTCTTTCTTACAGCTGCGTGGTACTCCATAGTGTATATGTACCACAGCTTTCTATCTGCTCATCTACTGATGGACACTTATGCTTGAACTATATCACATTTTAATTGTTGCCTAGCCCTTCATTGTAGGCTGCAGTGCTACAGTCAGCTCTCCATTGGTGAGCATTCAGTCTGTTCTGCTGCTAGAGCTAGTGCCGCAGTGAGCATTCTGCACGCACACCAGCCTTTGTTCAGGGTTAGCTTCTGGAGGCAGGTCCCGAGGCAGAGCCGGCTGGCCGGGGTGTGTCCCAGCTCTGAGCTCCCGCACTTCCCAGTCTTCGCCCTCGGCCGCAGATGGAGTGCCGCTCTCTTCAGCCTTGCTGATGAAACCGATCAGAAAAAGTTTCATTTTAGTATGCATTATAAAACTAGTGTGAAATCGCAACCTTTTCATATGTTCTTGGCTATTGTATTTTTGCCATTTTCCTCTTTGTATCCTTTGCCCACTTTTGTCTTGAGTTTTTAATATTTTTAAAACTGGGTTTTAAGTTAGTATGTTATGGATATTGATCTCTTTTCCCCAGCGTGTTCTTTGTTTATGGTGCTGCGTTTTTTATTCTCCATCCGAAAGCTAGACCTTTTTCTAGTTTGTCAGTATTTTCCTGTGGTTCTGGTTTTGGTATTCTCTTGAGAAAGATGTTTTCCAAGGAAAGATTTTAAAAGCTTTTTCTTCTAGTATTTTTATGGTTTTACTTTTTACATTTAATTAAAAATTTTTATCCTCACCCGAGGACATTTTTGCATTATCTTCAGATAGAGGAGGAGGGAGAGAGGGAGGAAGAGAGAGAGAGAAACATCAATGTGAGAGAGACACATTGAGTGGTTGCCACCCACACGACCTCAACCAGGGCCGGGGACAAACTGCAACCAAGGTACGTGCCCTTAGTGGAAATCGAACCCAGGACTCTCTCATCTGTGGGCCGATTCTCTAACCGCTGAGCCAAACTGGCCAGGGCTACATTTAATTTTTTAATGTTTCAGAAACTTATTTTTGTTATATAAGGTACGAGATGTATGGAATTTTATTTTAAAAAATGAATGTCATAAGTTTTTTTAAAAAAATTTATCTTTATTGTATTTACTGTATTATAGATGTCTCCTCTTTTCCCCCCCATTGGCCCCTCCTCCTCAGTCCTGCCCCCTTCCACCCTCCCCCACACTATTGTGGGTGTCCATTGGTTATGCATATACGCATAGAAATTCTTTTGTTTATCTCATCCCGCCCTCCCTCCCTCCTTTCCTTTTGAGGTTCATCAGTCTAACAACCAATTTGTACCTTCTTAATTCCTTCGTCTTCTTTACCCATCCCCCTCCCATCTGGCAAGCAACAAAAAGTTCTCTGTATCTATGAGTCTGTTTCTGTTCTGCTTGCTCATTTTGTTTGTAGATTCACTTGTTGATAGATATGTTTTTATTGCCATTTTATTGTTTATATTTTTGTTCTTCTCCTTCAATAATACTGGTTTGGAGGTGATGAATTCCTTTAGCTTTTTCTTATCTGGGAAACTCTTTATATGTCCATTGATTAACACCATTTACCAATTTATCCTTTTCCCACTGATTTGAAATGCACTTAATGTTAATATCCTGTGTGAGTTCTATGATGTTTTAATTATTGTAGTTTAATGGACAACTACTTTTTGATAGTCTTTAAAAATTTTTCTTAGCTATTTTTACATGTTCTTTCTTTTCAGTTTTTCAAAATATTCTCATGGATTTTGATTGGCATTATCTTAAAGTGACGGATTTAATTTGGGGACAACTGGTACTTAAAGGACAATTGAACCTTTCTGCCTGAACCATAGATTATCTCTTTTTCTCCGATTGTCTATGATATTCTTCAGTAACATTTTGTCGCTTTCTTTTTTATTTTAATTTTTTTTTCTTTATTGATTTTAGAGAGAGGAAGGGAGAGGCAGAGAGAGAAACATTGATGAGAGAGAACATGGATTGGCCGCCTCCTGCACGCCCCCCCCGGGGATCGGCCCACAGCCTGGGCGTGTGCCCCGACCGGGAATTAATAGGTGGCCCCTTGGTGCAGGGTCGACGCTCAGCCCCTGAGCCACACCGGCCGGCTTGCTTTCTTTATATAGTTATTGCACATATTAAATTTGTTTCTATGGACTGGTTTGTGTTTTAGTCATATTTTGTTGATTCTGAAATGTACCATCTCTGGAATTGGAATGTACCTGCCAACTGATGGATGAGAGCACGTGTCAGCTTGGCTGCACTTTCTGTCTCAGTCGTGCGGTCATGATGCACCTGCTGTCTTAAGGGCTAATTTAAGAATATCTGAACCTGTTTTTACACAGGTTTAACCATTTAAAATAAGGATTATTTTCCTCTAATTAACTTACAGTAGATAAGAATCGATGTTTCTTTCTAACAGCAGTGTCTCTTTTTAATGGAAGGAAATGGTGTGTTTCCATTACAGGACACCTGTCTCCCACGGAAACGGACGGTGACATGCTGGGCTATGACCTGTACAGCAGTGCCCTGGCGGATATTCTCAGCGAGCCCACCATGCAGCCGCCCATCTGTGTGGGGCTGTACGCGCAATGGGGAAGTGGGAAGTCCTTCCTGCTCAAGAAGCTGGAAGGTAGAGGCGTTTGTGCAGAGTCTGTGCTCACAACAAGGTTTTCTCTGGCTTATTTCCTGTGAAGTAAAGAAAAATAGAGTTTTATGTTACACACTTTACTACACTGGAAGTGTTAGGGTTTTACTCCCCCGGAGTTGATCCTCACACACTCGTTCGAGTTCTGTTTCCGAAGCAAAGGTCCGGCTGTGCTAGGACAGGTGCACCCCTGCGGCCGCAGTGTCTGCACGTGCCGTGGGGAGTCCCCATCCCCGTGCCCTTCCTGCAGCGTCGTGTGCGGCCGCACCTGCCAGCCCCGCCCCTGTCCGCCCCACTCCTGTCCAGTTTGCACTGGCCGGAACTGACCAGGTGCTTTTCCCGAGTTGCTCCCTGTGTCAGGAGCTTTCTAGAGAGCTCCCGCTCTGTGCCACCCCACACGCACACCTTTTGCTTGGCAAACTCTTACCCATTCTTCAAGGACAGGTTTCAGGAGTGCCTATCAAATTTTGTACCAAGTTTTGTAGAAGGAATGACTTATGTAAGGCTCATTTGGGCTCAACACACACCTTGAAGAGCTGGGACTCTCCAACGTGGTGAGAGGGAGAAGGGGCGAGGGGGAGCCTCAGAGAGGAACGCGGGCGGGGCTCCCTAGTGAAGACACAGCAAAGGGAGGGTTTCAGTTTACGTGCGGAAACAAGACCTTGTTGCTTGTGGAATACAAACCACAAAACATAAATATCAACAAAACCTCGACAGTGGAGCATCTGCAAAAGGGCTTCTTTGTGCATCATCACACGAAGCAGGAGAGGGTGAGCCAGCCGGCCGGTGCCCCAGGGAATGGGTGCTGATCAAAGAGCATCGCTGACCTGGCGATGAAGCAGCCTAGCTAGGGACGTAGGAAGTGCCCAGTAAGTGTGTATGTTCAAATGTGAACATTTCCAATTGAGGTAGGAGTTGTAGATCTTAAAACAGGAATAATGTTTTGATATTAATTTTGCTTTCAGATGAAATGAAGACTTTTGCAGGACAACAGATTGAACCTCTCTTTCAGTTCTCGTGGCTGGTAGTGTTTCTGACCCTGCTGCTCTGTGGAGGGCTGGGGTTACTGTTTGCGTTTACAGTTGACCCAAACCTCGGAATAGCGGTGTCACTGAGCTTTCTGGCTCTCTTGTACATATTTTTTGGTGAGTCTTTGCTTTTTATGTTTTTCAAACATGTGGAAAATGTCAAGACTCATTGTTTTACTTAGAAGATTATTTATATCTGTCTCTTAAAATCTGTGATTTCCATAACTAGGTTAGAAATTGATCTTTTTGCCCTTCTGTAAGTTGGCCTGGCGGAACAGTGCCCACAGCCTGGCTGGATTAGCTTTAAAGCCGTGTTCTACTTGTTAATATCGAAGCAGAGCTCTAGTTTATGGTACTTATCCTTTTATGTGTTAAGTATTGATTTATATTTACATCTTGTTTTGAAAATAAGTCTTCATGGCCTTCCCCTAGCATGCTCTCGAGCATTTTGATCATGATTGTAATTTTTATTTTATATAAAAGCCAAGTAAAACATATATATAATCTCTGTCCTTGGGATATCTTCAGTTGTAGAAAGGAAATAGATTTACTGTTGGAGGAACTGGTAACTTCAACAGTTGCAAATAGTGACACACGCAAAGTTATTTCATTGACATCTAAACGAGGTGATGTTTCTGTTTAAGGCTATCTCCCTTACATCATCCCTTCATCTGTTAGCTCTGCATTTCTCAGTACCTTCCGTATGTCGGAGGTGAAGTCACTGGGGAGTTCTGGGGTGTGACTAGGAGGTCGTGTGGGACCGTGAGGAGCTGTGCACCTGCTGGGTGGACTTGTACTGGACTGTTTGGAGAGGGGCTGCTTGACTGAGGATTGTTTTGGATGATTTTTAACACTGCATTTCAGCTGTCATTTACTTTGGCGGGCGAAGGGAAGGAGAGAGTTGGAATTGGGCCTGGGTCCTCAGCACCAGATTGGCAAGACACATTGGGTATTTGGAACTCCTCCTCAAACTGATGTTTGTGAATCCACCCGAATTGCCAGAGCAGACCACCAAAGCTTTACCTGTGAGGTGAGTTGGCCCTTTGACAGAGGGAACTGTCAATACATGAAGCAAAATAAAGGTACAGTGCATCATCTCTCAGTGTACGTTTCAAAAAACCTTGGTCCCTTGAACTTAATAAAACGCACAGCCCTGCCCTGGTCGAGTCCATGCGGGGAGCACTGCGTATGGGGTCTGTGCAGCAGGATCACAGTCACCCTTCCGTGCAGAATCCGTTCAGCCTGAATGCCGCGCCCTGATCACACGTGAGCCTGCTCCCTCGCGGCACCTGCTGCCAGCCATCGCACCTGCCGGGGAAGGGCACCAGCTCGGGGGGCCCGGGGCCTCTGTGCTGGCGTGTGGCCTCGGCACAGCTGTGCCTGATCACACGTGAGCCTGCTCCCTCGCGGCACCTGCTGCCAGCCATCGCACCTGCCGGGGAAGGGCACCAGCTCGGGGGCCCCGGGGCCTCTGTGCTGGCGTGTGGCCTCGGCACAGCTGTGCCCGAGCCCGCTGTCCTCCTCGGTGGAGCGTATCTGCCTTCCTCCCCGACATGATCAGGCGTGTCACACGGGAGAGGAGTGCGGAATGATCAGGCCTGTCACACGGGAGAGGAGTGCGGAATGATCAGGCGTGTCACACGGGAGAGGAGTGCGGAAGCAGCTCGGGCTCGGGAAGGCGGGGAGCAGGCAGGCCCAGCAGGGAAGGGAGGCGAGGCCTCCAGTGAGAGGCTAGAGAGCGGAGGGCGGAAGGGATTCAGGAGAAGCTAGCAGGATTGAATATGCACGAAAAGTAAGGATTTTTAAACTATTGTTCAGATAAAATATATGTAATTTAAGATGAAAATAAATAGGCCAAACCACATAAAATATCACAGCTGTAATATAAGAAAGATAAAGAAGTAAGCTTACAGGTAATAGATAAAGTATTAAGAAAAAGATTTAAAAATAACTAACAAGGTGGTATTATTTTTAAAAGTTAGAACAATTAAAGTAGCCTAAGCGAAGACCACAGAGTGCAGAGCAGCGTGACCTAGACTGTTCTGAAAGCCATGCTCATCTGGGTGGGGATGCGGTGCCGGGGTGGACGGGGGGAAGGAGCCATGCTCATCTGCTGGGTGGAGATGTGGTGCCGGGGTGGACGGGGGGAAGGAGCCATGCTCATCTGCTGGGTGGGGATGGGGTGTCGGGTGGACAGGGGGAAGGAGCCATGCTCATCTGCTGGGTGGGGATGCGGTGCCGGGGTGGACGGAGAGGAAGGAGCCATGCTCATCTGCTGGGTGGAGATGCGGTGCCGGGGTGGACGGGGGGAAGGAGCCATGCTCATCTGCTGGGTGGGGATGTGGTGCTGGGGTGGACGGGGGGAAGGAGCCATGCTCATCTGCTGGGTGGGGATGGGGTGTCGGGTGGACGGGGGGAAGGAGCCAGTACGGAGACACTGAGCATTCAGAGAGTTCAGGTGGAAGCAAGTTAGCATTTCCAAGAACAACGGTGAAATGACGGTTTTATAACTTATTTTTAAATCCCTGGTAAATGTTTAAGTCATAAATAAGACATTCTAAAACTTGAATTTTAAAAGGGCATTGCATTCCTTAGCGCTATACTATTTCCTCAGGATTCCAGTAGGTACTTAGAAAACGTCTGCAGTGCAGCCGTTTGGCTGCATCCTGACGTGGGTGCCACCTTTCGATTGTATCGTGAAGCCTGCTGGGATGTCTGCTTCCTCGCCTGAACCCTGTCATGACCTTCTTCCTCTTCTCCTTGAGTCGGTCACTTCATAGCACTTGGCTACACCTGACTTTTTCGCTGTCTTTCCAAAGAAAAGTGTGTAAGATGGTAGAAGTGAAGATACCTAATTTCAAGTTCCTTTCCCTCCTTAGAATTTGAAAACCAGTCTTTTGGAAGAGACAGAGAGAGAACACGGGGAAGGACACGGGGATGAGGTCTGTGGAAAAGGTTTCGTTAGAGATCTGAGGGATGTCTCCTCCCTCCAGGTTCTTGTTCACAGACTACAACCGGCTGTCCAGTGTCGGCGGGGAAACGTCGATGGCCGAGATGATTGCGACGCTCTCGGACGCTTGCGAGAGGGAGTTTGGCTTCCTGGCCAGCAGGCTTTTTCGAGTGTTCAAGACTGAAGACACGCAGGGTAGGACTCCCTCCCTCCTCCTCCTCCTCTGTGTGCGTGGGGGTCAGGGTGCGATGAAGATGAAGTGAACATCCACTGTGTCGTAGGCCGTCACTGAGACGGCGAGGATGTCCTGGATGCTCGGCACGCACGTAACTGACGGTCACTTGTGTCGCAGGTAAGAAGAAATGGAAGAGGACGTGCTGTCTGCCGTCTTTCGTCATCTTCCTGTTCGTGCTTGGCTGCGTTATTGCTGGGGTCACTCTTCTGGCTGTGTTCAGAGTTGACACAAGACATCTGACAGTGAACGCTGTCCTCATAGCCATCGCGTCTGTCGTGGGGCTGGCCTTCGTGCTGAACTGTCGCACCTGGTGGCAGGTGCTGGGCTCTCTCCTGAGCTCTCAGAGGAAACGCCTCCACAGCGCTGCCAACAAGCTGCACAAGCTGAAAGGCGAGGGCTTCATGAAGGTGAGCGCAGTGGTTAGACCGTGACCGCGAGGGTGCCCCATGGCGCTCCTGGGGCTTTGGACGTGGACTCTAAATGTTACACTGTTGCGTTGTTTTTGTTTGTTTGTTTGTTTTAACCCAGATTTTCCTGTGGAAATGCATATTTAAACTGGAAAAAGTTGTAACGAGAACATGTTTTTATAAAATAGACTTTTATAAGGTACTCAAAGGAGTTAGCAAGTTGATTACTTCACGGTGGTAATCCATTACTAATAATACAGGTTCCTCTAGAGCAGCGGTTCTCAGCCTGCGGGGCGCAACCCCTGTGGGGGTCGAACGACCCTTTCACAGGGGTCGCCTAAGACCATCGGAAAACACATATTTCCAGTGGTCTTTGAACCGAGACACCGCTCCTCTGTCCACCTCCAGGCGGGTCCGCCCACGCGCAGACACGCCCACGCGCAACAGGAGGCGCTGTGTCAAAGGGTCGGGCATTGGGAAGGTGGAGAACCGCTGCTCTGGAGCCTGACAGAGTGAGCAGGTTGAACCGCCAACGCAGAACAGGGCCAACTCTTAGGACCAAAGGGACTGCCTACCGTTTCTGCAGCCCCGTCCTTTGGTCAAGGTGTCCCCTCAGGAAGCCAGCTGTGGTTTGATCATTTAGATTTGCATTCAGATCTTAGGATTAACACTCAAAGAATGTGATCTTGGAAAGAAGTCCTCAGCCCAGTTTAATAATCTAAATAAAAAGTGGCTGTGACTCGGTGTCCCTCGCCGTAAGGGTGACATGCTCCCAGCTCTGTGAAGTCGCTGGCACGTGCTGAAGCACTCCGTGTGTTCTCAGCAGACGCGCTGGCAGTGAGGACTGGATTTCTTTTCTTCCCGTTAGGCGACGTCGGTCGGGACCCTTCAGCAATGAGCTGAGCTCCCCCGTACTCACCGCTGTCTGGCCTCTCTCTCAGGTTCTGAAGTGTGAGGTGGAGCTGATGGCCAGGATGGCGAAGACCATCGACAGCTTCACGCAGAACCAGACCAGGCTGGTGGTCATCATCGACGGCTTAGACGCCTGTGAGCAGGACAAAGTGCTCCAGATGCTGGACACTGTACGTCTCTGTCATTGTCACGCGTGCTGAGGGAAATGACGTCATGCATAGCTCTGTGGACTAGAGTAGTACTTTTCTTTTGTAAAAAGAGCCATTTTATGCAGATTGTAGCAAGAGAAATATTTCATCTCAAACAGGTCTGGTGGTTTTAGCTCCCTGGCAGGGCGAAGGGGGAAGGAGCGGAGGAGCTGGGCCGTCCGCCGTGTGGCCTCAGCTGTTCTCTGCAGACAGTCTGGTTGGAACGAGCAGAGCAGGCCCAGGGCTCGGAGTCCTGTCCCAGTCGGCACCTGGTGGCTCTGTCAGATGTGTCGAAGCGACAGAGACCAGTGTGCCCAGTACCTCCTCACAAGTGTTTCTCATGCATGTTGATCTTATGTAGACCGTAAGTGTCTCAAAATAAGACAGGATTACTTGTTTTCTTTGGAGGTTTATCACTGTCAGCTGGTGAAGATTGTCAGGTGATGAAAAATCAGATTGAGACTTCTATAAAATTGGTTTTATATAGAATATTATTTTGATGAAAAACAGTTTTTAAAAAATATAGTCATCAGAGGATAATAGATTTTGAAGAGTTTATTTTATTATGTTGGATAATTTAAAATTGATGTTGTGATTATACATTTCTTCTACCACAGGTCCGAGTTCTGTTTTCAAAAGGTCCATTCATTGCCATTTTTGCAAGTGATCCACACATTATTATAAAGGCAATTAACCAGAACCTCAACAGCGTGCTTCGAGACTCAAACATCAATGGGCATGACTACATGCGGAACATCGTCCATCTGCCTGTCTTCCTTAACAGTCGTGGGCTGAGCAACGCAAAAAAGTATCTTGTGACTTCAGCCACGAACGGAGACATTCCGTGCTCGGATGCTGCAGGTAGAGTCAGGTTCCTCGGTTCTTTGGGGTTGAGGAGTTCTGTTGTTTTTAGGGTGAGTCGCCTTTTACCTTGAAGAACATTGTTGGCAGCTTACTTCCCTTTGACTGTCACCTACAACAGAATGCCAGTACAAACGGTGCCCTTGCTGAATTCTTTCAGGGGTGCAGGATGATGCTGACAGACGAGTTTCACAAATCAGCCTCGGAGAGATGACGAAACTTGGCAGCAAGACAGCCCTCAATAGACGGGTAAGGCGCTGTTTCCTCTGAGTCGCCTGCTTGTATTGTTGTTACTCAGAGGAAACTATGGTGATGTCACTTAATAATCTTTTGTAAACACTGCACTCAGCTCATCAAATATATTTTATGGTTGAATGTCCTTTTGGCGTCAGCGGTGTTCAGGGAATGTCTGAGCCTACAGCCACAGCTGTAAGTTGCGTAGGAGTCCCTGTCCTCTCCCACCTGTTGTCAGTCCACGTGCTGCGGCAGACTCCAGAGCAGCCGAATCAGAGTCTGCGAGGGAGCTTTCGAGCCCCCCAGACGGTGTCGCCAGCACTGAGAACCTGTGCCGTCCCAGGGCCCGCCGCACCACAGCTGGGAGGGAGGAGGGGGCTTGTCGTGTGAGGAGCCCTTGCTCTGTCCCCGGTGGCCTCCTTCCCTAGCGTTTGAGGTGTGGCTGTCTGCGGTACCCGCAGTGACTCTGTGCCCTTCCCAGCCACCGGGGGTTTCTCCTGGGAAGCTCTAGTTGTCCCTGACCTGCCCCACTCCCAGAACTCTCTTTGTGTGGAACAAGGGAGTACTGCAGACCAGAAGCTGTCCACTGGCAGGTGAGTCCAGTCACAGTGCCCCTCGGGGAGGGCCAGGTGGGCTGGCATTGATGGGCACTATTTTTTGTTTGTTTTTAAGTTTGTCACTATTAAATTGGAATATTTTACATTAAAACTGTGTCTTCAGGGACATTTTGACATTTTGCCTCTACCCTATGCAAGCATGGATGCAAAATTAATGTGAACGACAGTAGATGACACTAAACAAGAGCCGGGTGTGAGTTACCATTGTCCTGGGAGTCGGGACTCGTGTCCTCCCTATGACTGGGCCCGCCACTCCCTTGGTTCATGGCCTTTGATGAGAGGGCGCCTTGGTTGTGCCTGTTGCTCCTCTTATTAGGTGGGTTCCATACCCTGCCCCACCCAACAGAGTGCCTTTAATTGATTTGATTACTTTCATTCTGTGCATTTAATGCAGACACGAGGATAGTTAGAGCAGCTGAGCCTGTTGCCACACGTTAAAAAGTAACTGAAAACTCAAAATGCTGACCCCTTAAACCTAGACAAGGAGTTATTGCCTTGTCATTTCAGGGCTCCTGTGAATCCCGAGCTCCTACCAGAGTTCGAATTGAACTCTCTCTATGTAATTCTGCTTGTGTATACTCTTCACGGCCCACGCTCTCTGCCCGCACAGCTACAGAGCGGACTCCGTCCGCGGTGCCACCATGGCGTTGCCGGGAGCTGGGTGTTACTTCCCCTGCTGGCCGGGTCGGCTCAGGGCGTGGGGTTTGTCAGCACGTGACCTTCCTCTGGCTGCGGGTCTAGAGGGCTGCTGTTGACATGCACATGTTAACTTCGCAAAAAGTCTCAAGACTTGCAGTGTGGGCCGCTCTCACCGACCTCTGTCACTTCAGGACACTTACCGAAGAAGGCAGATGCAGCGAGCTGTCACCCGGCAGATGTCCTTCGACCTTACGAAGCTGCTGGTGACGGAGGACTGGTTCAGTGACATAAGTCCTCAGACCATGAGAAGATTACTTAATATTGTTTCTGTGACAGGTGACTGATTCTTACTGTCCTTTGGTACATAATAAGCTTTAACATTAACAAAGCAGTTCAGTTTCAGAAACAAAGGGATGTACTGTGCATATGTGTTCATTTTGCTAAATGCCACTTTCATTTGCATGAAGTGTATTTAGTAAAACCAGCGGTAGTTTTGACAACAAAAATCAACGCTCAGTTGTGCACTGTTATTTTAAAACTTCACGATTTAAAAAAATCTTTTATTTCATCTCAGGTTTCATTGGGTGGAATAGAGGCCCTGTCACTGACCTAGCAGACCAGCCCCCGCGAGGAAAAGGAAGTCGGCGAGGGTCATGTAGTTGGCGTGAACAGCAGATAGGCTGAGGGAGGGAGGGTCTGAGGATGGAAGAATTGGATGGGGGCTTGTTTGTCAGTAGTAGGGAAAGGGACAATTCCTATTTGAGCTGAAACAAATACATCTTAATCTAGATCTCAGCTGAACTGATAATGACCAAGTAAAACTGATAGTGTTTAAATTAAAAAGCAGCAATATCTTCAGCTCAAAATCCCCACGAAATCAAGGATAAAATGAGGCAGAAAAGCAAGGCATCAGTTCTAAAAGTTCGAGGATTGCAGCTGTCCACAGGAAGCTTGGCCCCTGTCAGGACTCTGAACTGGGGTTCTCAGAAAACCCCAGGGAGAGACGGACTGTCGTAAACAAATTAGATCTCACCGGTGGGTTATTCACATAGGCCGCCCCGAGTGCCTGAAAGTGAGAGTGTGCGGTCGGCACGCCCACCACGAAGGAGCCAGAAAGGCCCGTCAGCAGGCTCCAAGGCTCTGCTTTCGAGGGGCCAGGGCCGGTGCCGGGCCGCTGTGTGGCGTGGGCGTGTCAGGACCGACTGGACAGCGCTCAGAGGTTTGCCTGTGTGCACGTGTCAGGCAGGTGGTCAGCGCAGCAGCGGGGGGCCTCACAGAAGATCACATTAGAGCTGGAGCGGCCCCCTAGCAGGGCCCTTGGAGCACGGAAGCTGTACATACACATCCACATACACATGGTTTGAGTTCGTTGTGTAAATTAAGTGGCAAATTTTAAAGATGTAGGAAAGTTAATTTATTTGTGAATATGCTAAATGTTTTTCTTAACATAACATTACACATCCATTAATTCAGAAATGTTCTTGTGTTCCTTAAAGGACGATTACTGAGGGCCAATCAGATCAGTTTCAGCTGGGACAGACTTGCCAGCTGGATCAACCTCACCGAGCAGTGGCCCTACCGGACTTCATGGCTCATCCTGCATCTGGAAGAGACTGAAGGTCTTCCAGACCAGATGACCCTGAAGACCATCTACGAAAGGTACTTGATCTCCTTATTTTAATGTTAGTTAGAATGAGCAATGAATACAGAATATTATGTATAAAATGGACACTTCCAAATTCATGGATGATTCTCACTAATCGTTGACTTTTGGAGCTGTGTTAGCGCAAGTGCACGTCCCTTCTGTTAGCGCGGGTGCACGTCCCCTCCGCTAGCTAGCGCGGGTGCACGGCCCTTCTGTTAGCACAGGTGCACGTCCTGTTCACTAGCGCAGGTGCACGTCCCCTCCGCTAGCTAGCGCGGGTGCACGGCCCTTCTGTTAGCACAGGTGCACGTCCCCTCCGCTAGCTAGCGCGGGTGCACGTCCCTTCTGTTAGCACAGGTGCACGTCCCCTCCGCTAGCTAGCGCGGGTGCACGTCCCTTCTGTTAGCACAGGTGCACGTCCCCTCCGCTAGCTAGCGCGGGTGCACGTCCCTTCTGTTAGCACAGGTGCACGTCCCCTCCGCTAGCTAGCGCGGGTGCACGTCCCTTCTGTTAGCACAGGTGCACGTCCCCTCCGCTAGCTAGCGCGGGTGCACGTCCCTTCTGTTAGCGCAGGTGCACGTCCTGTTCACTAGCGCAGGTGCACGTCCCTTCTGTTAGCACGGGTGCACGTCCTGTTCACTAGTGCAGGTGCACGTCCCTTTTTATTTTCTATATTGTTGAAAGTATTACAGATGTGCCCCCCTTTTCCCCATTGAACCTCTTCTTCCTGCTCCCATACCCCCCTCCTGCTTTCCCCAAACCTAATGTCTGTGTCCATTGGTTGTTCATATATGCATATAAGTGCTTTGGTTTATCTCTTTCCACCCCATCCCTCTGAGGTTTGTTAGTCTGCTCCCTACTTCCATGGCTCTGGATCTCTTTTGGTCGACAGCTTACTTTGTTCACTGTGTCCCACAAATAAATGAGATCATGTGGTACTTGTCTTTCTCTGAGTGGCTTATTTCGCTTAGCACAATACTCTCCAGGTCCCTCCATGTCATCTCAAAGGGTAAGAGATCTTTCTTTCTTACAGCTGCATAGTACTCCATTGTGTACATGTACCACAGCTTTTTTATCTACTCATCTACTGATGGGCCCTTGGGCCGTTTCCAGATCTTAGTTATTGTAAATAGCTAAAACTGTTATGAACATAGGGGTGCATATGTTCTTTCTGATTGGTGTTTCAGGCTTCTTGGGATATATTCCCAGAAGTGGGGTCACTGGGTCAAACGGCAGTTCCATTTTTAATTTTTTGAGGAAACACCATATTGTTTTCCATAGTGGCTGCACCAGTCTACATTCCCACCAGTAGTGTGCTAGAGTCCCCTTTTCTCCACACCCTCGCCAGTACTTGTTGTTTGAGGATTTGTTCATGGCCAACATTCTGCCATGTATGAGGTGATATCTCATAGTCATTTTAATTTGCATCTCTCTGATGATTAGAGATGTTGAACATTTTTTCTATGTTTCCTAGCCATTTGTATGTCCTATTTAGAGAAGTGTTTATTCAGGTCCTCTGCCCAGTTTTTTTTTTTTTTATCCTCACCCGAGGATATTTTTCCATTTTTTGTACAGATAGAGTGGGAGGGAGAGAGAGGAAGGGAGAGAGAGAGAGAGAAACATCGACGTGAAGGGACACATCGAGTGGCTGCCACCCGCACGACCAACCAGGGCCGGGGACAAACTGCAACCGAAGTACGTGCCCTTAGCGGGAACCGAACCCGGGTCTCTCCGGACCGCAGGCCGACGCTCTAACCGCTGAGCCAAACTGGCCAGGGCGTCTGCCCAGTTTTTAATTGGATTGTTTGTCTTTCTCTTGTTGTAGGAGTACTCTATATATTTTGGATATTCACTCCTTATCCAATGTATTGTTGGCAAATATGTTCTCCCAGAAAGAGGGCTTCCTTTTCATTCTGATGCTGGTTTCTTTTGCCGTGCAGAAGTTTTTTAGTTTGATGTAGTCCCATTTATTATTTTTTTCCTTTGTTTCTCTTGCCCTAGGTGATGTATAGTCTGAGATTTTTTTGCCTACATTTTCTTCTAGGATTTTTATGATTTCATGGGTTACATTTAAATCTTTTATCCATTTTGAGTTTATTCTTGTGTGATGGTGTAAATTGGTGGTCTAGTTTCATTTTTTTGCATGTAGCCATCCGATTTTCCCAACACCATTTATTAAAGAGACTGTCTTTTCTCTGTTGTATGCTCTTGCTTCCATTGTCGAATATTAATTGTGCATGCTGTCTTGGGTAGATAACTGGGTTCTCTGTTTTGTTCCATTGATATATATGCCGGTTCTTGTGCCAGTACCAGGCTGGTTTGAGTATGATGGCTTTGTAGTATGACTTGATACCTGGTTTTGTGATCCCTCCCACTTTGTTCTTCTTTTTCAAGATTGCTGTGGCTATTTGGGTCTTTTATGGTTCCGCATAAACTTTTGGAGTATTTGTTATAGATCTGTGAAATATGCTGTTGGTACTTTAATAGGGATTGCATTGACTCTGTAGATTGCTTTGGGTAGTATGGACATTTTAATGATGTTGATTTTTCCAATCCATTAATATGGTATATATTTCCACTTTTTTATTTTATTTTTTATCCTCACCCAACAAAAGGACATTTTTCCTTTTGTTGTGGTTGTTGTTGTTCAGATAGAGTGGGAGGGAGAGAGAGGAAGAGAGAGAGAGAGAAACATCTACCTGAAAGGGACTCATCGAGTGACTGTCACCCACATGGCCAACCAGGGCCAGGGACAAACTGCAATCGAGGTATGCGCCCTTAGCGGGAACCGAAGCCAGGTCTCTCTGGACCACAGGCCGACGCTCTAACCGCTGAGCCAAACTGGCCAGGGCTGTTTCCACTTCATAATATCTTCCTCTGTTTCTTTTTTTCTTATTTTATTTTATTTTTTTATTCTCACCTGAGGACATTTTTTGTTTAGACAGAGCGGGAGGGAGGGAGAGAGAGAGAGAAACATTGATGTGAAAGGGATACATCGAGTGGTTGCCACCCACATGACTGTTTCTTTTTATAAATGTCCTGTAGTTCTCTGAGAACAGTTCTTTTATCTCCTTGGTTAAATGTATTCCTAGGTATTTTAGTTGTTGCAATGGTAAATGGGATTGTTTTTTTAATTTCGCTTTCTGAGGGTTCATTATCGGTGTATAAGAATGCCATTGATTTCTGAAAGATAATTTTATATCCTGCTACTTTGCCAAATTCATTGATTAAATCTAGTAGATTTTTGGTAGAGTCTTTATGGTTTTCTATGTACAATATCATGTCATCTGCAAATAATGACAGTTTCACTTCTTCCTGTCCGATTTGGATCCTTTTTATTTTTTCTTCTTGTCTGATTATTGTGGCTAAGACTTCCAGTACTATGTTAAATAAGAGTGGTGAAAGTGAGCATCTCTGTCTTGTTCCTGTTCTTAAGGGAAATGCTTTTAGTTTTTGTTCTTTGAGTATGATGTTGGCCGTAGGTTTGTCATTTATGGCCTTTATTGTGTTGAGATATAATCTCTGTATTCCCACTTTGCTGAGCATTTTAATAAGAAATGGGTGCTGGATTTTGTCAAATGCTTTTTCAGCGTTTGTTGATATGATCATATGGTTTTTTCATTTTGTTTATATGGTGTATCACATTTTTTTATTTGTGAATATTGTAGCCTTGCATCCCTGGGACGAATCCCACTTAGTCATGGTAAATAATTTTTGAAATGTATTGCTGGATTCGATTTGCTAATATTTTGTTAAGGATTTTGGCATCTATGTTCATCAGGGATATTGGCCTGTAGTTTTCTTTCTTTGTAGTGTCTTTATCTGGTTTTGGAATTAGGGTTATGCTGGCCTCATAAAAAGAGTTTGGAAATCTTCTTTATCTTGAATTCTTTGGAATAATTTGAGGAGGGTGGGTGTTAGTTCTTCTTTGAATGTTCCATAAAACTTTCCTGTGAAACTATCCAGGCCTGGGCTTTTGTTTGCTAGGAGTTTATTGATTACATTTTAAAATTCCTTAGTTGTTATTGGTCTATTCAATTTTTTTGTGTCTTCCCAGTTCAATTTAGGGAGACTGTGATTCTAGAAATTTGTCCATTTTGCCTAGATTGTCCAATTTGTTGGTGTATAATTGTTCATAGTATTTTTAATCCTTTGTATTTCTGTGGTGTCAGTTGTTACTTCTTTTTCATTTCTGATTTTGTTTATTTGGGTCCTCTCTCTTTGTTTCTTGGTGAGTCTGGGTAAAGGTTCATTAATCTTGTTTATCTTTTAAAAGGATCCACTCTTTGATTCATTTATCTTTTGAATTGTTTTTTTCAGTCTCTATGTCATTTATTTTCCCTCTGACCTTTACTGTTTCTTTCCTCCTACTTGCTCTGGGTTTTTCTTTTTGTTTAATTTCTAGTTCTTTAAGTTGTAGGGTTAGATAGTCTATTAGAGATTTTTCTGGTTTCTTGAGGGAGGCCTGCAGTGCTATGAACTTCCCTCTCAGGGCTGCTTTCGCTGCGTCCCATAGATTGTGTGTTGTTGTATGTTCATTTTCATTTGTTTCCTGGAAGTTTTTAATTTCTTCCTCGATCTCCTTTGTAACCTGTTCATTGTTTAATAACATGCTATTTAGCCTCTATGTGTTTGAATGCTTTTTAGTGTTTTTGTTGTAATACATTTCTAGTTTCATGCCATTGTGATCTGAGAAGATGCTTGATATGATTTCAGTCTTCTTGAACTGTAGAGACTTAGTTTGTGTTCTAACATGTGGTCTATCTTTGAGAATCTCCCATATGCACTCGAGAAGAATGTGAATTCTGCAGTTTTGGGGTATAATTCTCTCTAGATATCTATTAAATCCATTTGACCTAATGCATCATTTAGAGTCTCTGTTTCCTTGTTAATGTTTTGTCTAGATGATCTATCCACTGATGTCAGTGGGATGTTGAAGTCCCCTGCTATGATTGTATTGTTGTCAGTTTCTCCTTTGAAGTCCTTCAGAAGTTTTTAAATGTATTTTGTTGCT